TCAGGGAGGGTCTTTCTCCTGCTTCAGCCCAGTTGGCAGAAGTTCTTAGCTTCCTTCAGCATGGGCTGGAGAAAGGTTTGGCCTCCAACACCTTACGCAGGCAGGTTGCAGCCCTCTCCTCAGTCCTTTCATGGGGTTCGCTTCCTTCCTTATCCCATCACACTTCAGTCAGGAGGTTTTTGAAAGGGGCTTCCAACCTGCACCCTCCGGTGGTTCACAGGTATCCTTCCTGGGACCTTCATTTGGTCCTTAATGCCCTTACAAAGCCCCCCTTTGAACCCCTTAGAACAGTGTCTCTCTGTTTCCTGACTTTGAAGGTAGTGTTCCTTGTTGCCATTACTTCTGCCAGGAGGGTTTCTGAGCTTGCCGCTCTTTCCATCAGACAGGACCTTTGTTCCTTTCATGATGATAGGGTTGTTCTTCGTCTGGACCCCTCATTTATTCCGAAGGTTAACACCTGGTTTCACAGGTCCCAGGACATTGTTTTGCCTGACTTCTGTCCTCTCCCACACCATGACTTAGAGCGGCAGTGGCACACGCTAGACGTAAGAAGGGCTCTTAGAATATACTTTAAGTGCACTTTCTCCTTCAGGAAGTCAGAAGCCATGCTTGTTTCCTTTTTCCCTTCTCACTTGGGGCACAAGGCCTCTTCTCCTACTATTAGCAGGTGGGTCAGGTCTTGCATTGAGCAGGCTACAAAGCTGCGGCCCTTCCGGTTCCCCGAGGTCTGACGGCGCACTCTACCAGAAGCGCGACCACTTCTGCTGCCTGGGTGACCCAAGCATCCTTGGAGATTTGTCGTGCGGCCACGTGGACATCTCCGTCTCCTTTCATCAGACACTACCATCTGGATGCTTTTGCCACGGCAACTGCAGCCTTCGGCAGACGAGTGCTTCAACGAGTGGTTCCACAGTCGGTGTGATGAGCCAGATGAGGACCCGCCCGTGAACATGCAAACTTTGGTATGTCCCATCCTAGGCTCTCAATGCAGCATGGAGGAGAATGGGCGTTGGTAGAAGTTATTGTGAACGCCCTTTCTATCTATGCTGCGAGAGAGCCCAGCCGCTCCCTTGATTCATCCGGAGAGGGTAAGACATATTTCTGTATTTATTTTGGGCTTTCAGAGACACCTTTCAGTCTGTCAAGTATCTTCGCCAAAGCTGGGGTCTCTCCCGGGGGCTGGCTTTCATATGTTAGTACAGACTCAGCTATGACATCATAGGAAGGAGTCAACCCATCCTGGGCTCTCTCGCAGCATAGATACAAAGGGCGTTCACGGTAACTTCTACCAACACCCATTCTCAGACTAAGAAAGCCATACCTCATTTACTTACTATTTCCCTGTGCTCACGCTTTCTGTTTCTGCTCAGGTGGGATGAAGTATCTTGCTCTGCCATGCCATACTCACAGTACCACAAAGGTTCCCTTTATTTTTTTTAAACATCTTTAGATCTCAACAAACTTACTGCTTTGTTTCTGTGAAGTTTTTCCTTGCTAGAAAGTTTTCATGAACTTACAGAGGCACCAAAGAACAACCTGTTCCCTAATGCTTTGATTATTGTACCAACTAGGATGATACATTAGGAAAAAGGGAGGGAGTGTCTGTGTTGGTGTCAAAAGAGATAAATGTTGGAAAGGGCGGTGAATTCATCCATGTGTGCAAATAACTGGGAAAGCAAAGTAAACAACAGGGACTAGTCAGGAAGGAACAATCCCTAAAATGGAAAAAATACACACTGGTAGAGGAGTCCACACAGAAGCCAGTCAATTAGGGTTGCTTTCCTGAATGAGTAAGTAAGGGCAAAAGGCAGGGGGAACAGCCAATCCTATACAGTATTGTGGTCTCAGCATCCACCCCACTGCAATCTGGAGTGGAAGTTCAAATTTCTGAAGTAGGTTTAAAATGTAGCAGGGGAGACCAGCAGCTTCGGCTGCAGTGCAGAATTGTCCTTAAAACAGTGTGTCCTCCTGAGTCATCTGTTGGCCCTTAACTGTGGATCTGTCCTTGGGGGCTAGCCAATATTATTACCTCTGAGCTTGGAGTCTTCGTGTTAAGATCGCCAAACCTGGATCCATAAAAGTGTAGATGGGTTTCAAATGTTGCTGAATGGTAGCTTTTAAATTAAATGTAGAGAAAATAATTCAGTTATCTGTAATTAATGGAACATTTTTTACCATTTTTGCCCTGGCATTGTTCCCTTTCTTGGCATGCATTCCCCAGTATGTGGGGAATGAGATTCACAACCCAAGTGCAATCTTCAGCCTGACAAGATTTATACAGCCCTCGCCATGCATACATTAGATGTAGAATGCTTGAGCATCAAAGTCCCTATAATCATTATTTCAGAGCTTTATGCCTCTTGTTCTTCTTACGTAATAAGCCATTCAGTTTGCATGCTTAATTTATTGAGGGTATGTGATAGGCATGTACTGGCTGATAATATGACATGTAATCACAACATTTGGAAAGTTTGTTATTTATTAAGTTTATAAATAACAAACTTAATAAAAAAAAACTGTCCATTTCATTGCATGATTAGGCAAAATAACTTAGTAAAAAAAATAGGCCAAATTTAAAAACAGAACTAATATAACGAAGCAGCTCAGGAACTCAACTAACACAGCCAAGATCAAGAAATAAGTTCACGTATACTATCATAACGCCAGGCTTGATGGCAAATCCCATGTTTTTAATATCTTGTGAAAAGATAGGTCAGGGAAAGTCTAATTTTTGAGGAAATAATGTCATAAAGGGTAGTCCCAGGGCAGAAAGCTCTCTTCCTGGACCCTTATAGAAGGCACCTAGAGCAGGCCTTTCCTGCCAGATTTGACAGGATAGGTAGACACTACTGGGGAAAGACCATCCCATAAGTAGCCAGGCCCCAAACCATGATGGCTTTAAACCAGCACCATTAGTTGTATCTGGAAATAAGCTGTAGTCAATTCAGCTTGAGCAGTCACATGTGCTAAGCAACCGGTGCCCGTATCTGCCTGAGCCACCACAATTTATACCAGCTGAAGTTTTCAAATGTAGGGCACATTGCAGAAATCCAAACAGTGCCATATTGTGGCCTGAATTCACTAATGTGGTATAATGGATATAGTATTTGTGCTAGAATTGAGGTTTACTTCAAATCTACTCTCAGCCATGAAAGTTCACTGTTTTCATAGGGTTATTGTGGTGGGGAAAATGGCGTGAATGATACCAAATGCCACCTTGAGTCTTAGTCATAAAAGTAGTTCAGTTGAACTGCAGTTGTATCCCTTCTCAAAATGCCCTTGATTCTTAATAGTACATGATGTTATTACAGACTGGATTCATCCACATAAAGGATCAATATTTATTATTTCATCTTATTAATTTTATTTGGAACCATGCATTATTGACTCTTTATGTATTGTAAGATGGCTTACAAATAGGCTGAAGTGAAGTTCAATTTCAACATGAACATATGCTTAAGACCATTAATTGACTCTTTTATTGTAATTCATTTAAAATAGTCTGACCTAATAAAGTCAAAGAAAATCCCATGACATTTAAGTTTCTTATGTACAAGGATATTTCTAGTGCATTGTATGAGTTCATTGTTTTAGAGTCATTGTTTTGCCAGTTACTTGCTTATTTGTATATTAATAAATAAAATGGGTGGGCAAAAGTGTGGCATCTGAATGGATATCAGTAATATATTTCACATATAATTGAGAAGGGCAGCAGGAGATCATTTAGCTGTTTCTATCCTCCTTAGTTCCTGTGTTAGATTTATCAATACTTATAACCAGTTGAAAAATCTCAATTCATCTTTGGTCATTGCGCTAATACAGCCCTTGTTCCTCATACAACTCTCTAGTGATTCCCCAAATTTCAGTTGGAATTACACAACTTGAAAAAGTTGAATGGAATTTATCCAAGCCAAAAGCTTTTATTCTTACAACTTCTCACTAAAGCAAGTAGCCACACTGAATGACTAAAGAAAATGCTACACATTCACTAAACTGGCTCAATATCTTAATACACTGGGCTAAACCACACGTGTAATTGTGCTGGATTTACAGAACATGCCAAGGCAAAACCCACATTTTGACATGTAGTTTTTATTGTAGTTAAAACAAATCCTTTTCTCGTGAAAGAACAGTTGCTTAATCTGAAAGTTTCATTAATCCAGCTGTTGCTTCTTTGCTGCCCTCTAGTGATAATCCAGATTTCGGCAGTCCACATCTGTTCCCCGTAAATCTTAGATCTGTGTAGTTTCCATAAAACATGTTTCATTCTGCATTTATTCTATCAATTGTCAGAAATTACTGAATTTGTGAAAAGATGGTTCAGCTCCAGGTTTCTCAGGTTTATTTATGAGGTTGATGCCTCAGTTTAGAAAAATTCAACAAAATTGAACAAATTTCCTCTTCCTTTTTTGCCACAGCCATTGTTTTCATAGTATTTTAGGGTAAGTTTATTCAACTGGGGGTTCCGCTTGCTCATTGCTCTGAAACTTAGGATGAGAAGCAGTTCAAAAAAAATCTTATTAATGTAACAAAAACATACCACAATCTCAACAGCAGCAACCTGTTGCAACGTTTTTTAGAACTAGATGCAGGGTTAGAAATCGATCGTTCTAATTTAACACGTGTATCTCTTCACGTTTTCGCGTCTGCAAGTAAGTAAAACAAGGAAATGTCCCAATTATTATTTTAAAAATCACTCCACACTTAGACCATTAAATAACCAATTAAATAACCAATCTCCACAAGTCCACGCGAAACTCCCCAACATTCCACACGCGCGCTACTGCGCGTTGTAAAAGAGCCATCAATCAGTCCCCAGATTGACATTCGCCTCCTCCAATCAAGCAGACTTCCAGTTGGCGGCAGGCGGAGTGAGCTTCGATTCCCCACTCCCGGCAGGCAGAGGCCAATCAGGACAGTGGCTACAAAAAACAGGGACGAGTAATTCGCCGCTCCCGCTCTCTTGACTTCAGAGCTCCGCCCCGGCTGAATGGGGAGGATGTGAATGGACCTCGAGCGGTAGCCGAGCGCAGCCTGTCGCTACGTGAGGCGCCCGGGGCAGGTGGAGGGAGGGACTGCGGGGCCGCTGCGCCTTCCCCCCCCCACGCTGATTCGGGAGGGTCGGTGCTCGGCCGGTGGCTGCGGTAAAAGCGCCGGCGAGAAAGGAGATTGGGCGGGATTCGCCCTGCCCGGCTGCAGCTCCTAGAAGTGCGGACAGAGGGAGGTCCCGAGGGTCGCTCTTCGGCTGCGACAGCGGCTGGCGGTGGAGCCCAGCAGCAGGTGAGGTCGGAGTCGACCGAGAAACGACTCTGCCGCGTTCTTGCACTGGGCTTTACAGGACACGGCGGAGTTTAGTGGTGGCTCGGCTATAGAAAAGGCGGACTGGGGTTCCCACGACCCACGAACCTCTCCCAGACCCAACACGCATTTTTGCAAACCCAAAAGCGATCGGCTTAGTTTGACTCAATGTGTGCTTCTGTTAACTTCCTGAGTTGATTTGGCGCGCCATGGTGGTTAAGTTAGCCATGGATAATAAACATGTAGCGTGGTGTCAAAGTCGTGAGAATGAGGCGTGGGTAGATGGTGGAGGGTTTAAGGTGTGAGAAAATGTCTGGTTTCTTCAGCTAGTGACAATACCGTTACATAAAGAAAGAGGCTCTGAAATAAAGGAGGCAGTAATGGGAGTTGTGAGGTGGGGTGTCTGTCTCTCCTCTTCTTACACCAGGCACGTGCAATTTGCTCTTCTAGGCAATTCTGGCAAACCTTGAATAAACGATACAACGATATATTTTCACCCCTAAAATATACCTTTAGGTAAAGGAGATCTAGTAAATATATCATGTTTTAAATTACTACCAGTCTGTTCATAAGACATTTATTCAGTGTTAGAGGTGTAGAATTGGACTGAAATTCTTATTGCCCAAATTCTTATTTTACTGCTTTTTATAGCGGATTAAGTATGATTTTTATACACTTTAGCATGCTTTTACATTTAAAGATGAAAATACAGTAAAATCTAATAGTCAGCCATAGTATAATATTTGAACAGTTTCCAACTAGAGTTGGGTTTGCAAACATACTAAAACTAAGGGTATTTTTCTAATTTATGGCTCAGTTATTGTGCAAATCGAGCCATGTGATTTATTTGATTCATTTGTGTAGCCAAACCCAGGCTGATCAATTTACCATGTAACCCATATCTTAGTTCATTTATGGCTTAGCATGTCCGTACTACCACAGTAGCTAGACTACTGTGACTTGTTCAGAACCACATAATTCTAAGAAATCATGCATTTATGGGAAATAGATGTGTTTATTCCTGCAATACCACAAGATAAGTGGATCAGTATTATTCCCTATGATTTTTCTTGGGTGGCGACTAATTTGTTTATATGGATGTACTCCCACAATTATTTGTTTATAGTGGTTTGACATGGCATTGTTTTAATTATTGGTTGTACACTGTCTAGAGATATGTTCAGTGAGATGAGTGGCCATATACATTTGTTAAATAAAGCAAATGACAAGAGTGGAATTAACAGCATTGATGATGGTGATCACTCTAATTATTCCCTCCCCCCTCAAAAATGTAACACTGATACAGACAGTATTTATATCTTTAATTTATAAGCATAACAGTGCTTTGCACTACTAAACACATTTTAGGCATAAGGTTATATAACTCCTGACAGACCAGAGACATGTTTTTGTCATAGGTGCAGAATGATGGAGAGGATATTGTTTCCAAGATCAATAGGATATTTTCAGGTTTAATATTGATATTGTATCCTGTATTTCTCAAACAACTATGTTTATAATGTTTAGTTACAGGATCAAATTCTGTTTTCATTGTATATATTTAATCTGCAGCACAGAAAGCAGATAAAGCAAAATACTCATAAATCTATATGTGGCAAAAGGCTTCTCTCTCATCTGGAAAGGTTCTAAGGGTGCATGCTATGATGTGTAAGCTTAAGAATAAGGCTATATCCCTTTTTTCTGCATTATTTTAATGGCAACAAATTTATGCATATTTAATTAAAGGCTGAGAATGTTTAGTATTCAAGGTACACTTTAGTACTAAAGGTATTAATGTTTCAAATGTCTGTTGTACATAACTGTCCTATTTTAATTTTAGTATTTTTTAATGCAGTACAGTGTTATCATTCTTTCAAATAGAAATTAACTTTAGTTGCTGAATGTAAGATTGTGTTTATCAGTACGAAGGATCCAAATCTGCATTTTTATAGAGCTGAACATAATTTTAATAATCCATATCACATCATTTAGCAGTGAAATGTTTTTTCTTGTAAAATCAAATAGGCAGTACTGGAAAACATAGGTAGTACAAGAGCTACCATGTTTCTCATATAATAAGGCCGGGTCTTTTTTTTTTTTTTTTTTGAGCCCCGAAAAAATGGCTAGGCCGTCTTTTCGGGGGTGACAATTCCCCCCCCCCTTTGCATCTTTGGGCAGGTGGGCGGCGACAGCTTGAATGTTGACCTAGGCGTTGGTGAAGCACTTAGTATCGGGGTCAAGGCAGGCAGCACCATATCTGGGTGTGCAACAAAAGTACTTCCTAACGGCAAGCCCCCCCCATTCCCCCCCCCATTTCACATGTTTTAATAGAGGCCTTAATTTGGGGGGAGGGGCTTAATTTCATTTCATGCCTATAAAACATGCTGGGACTTCCTATTGGGGGAGGCCGTATTGTTGGAGAAGCAGGGTATATATTTTAAAAGTAAAGGAGGAGGAAAAACCTGTTTTAAGATCTGACAAAACATTACACATTTTGAATCATAAAACTAAAAATAACAGCAAAAGAAACTACTTTTTTTTAACTTGCATTCAAAAAGGGGCAAGGAAAAGAGTATAAGAAAAAGCTCCTTGTAAGGCACAACTGGAAATTTTTAAATGGAGAATTTAAACTAGATTTCATTATTTATTATTAAGTTTATTTAGCAATAGATATAAATATTGTCTGAGATCACCTTGTTCTTAATGTATTTAGGGCAGAATTGTGTGTCCGAATTCACCCCAAGAGCCAGGTTATTGCTTCAACACATACTCATTTTGTGGCTGGATGACATCAGTATTGGACTTTTTGAAAGGGAAGCCCTACTATTGTTTCATATTCCATTTTCCATTAAGACAGACCAAAGGAATCATTGCTTTCCTTTGCAGTAAGGATCTTTACACTTTTGGGTATTGATTGGATCATTTAGGAAACAGTTCTGTACACAGGTACTCCTCGAGTTATTATCACTTGTTTAGCAACCATTCAAAATTGCAACAGCATTGAATGAGGGAGGTTTGTGATTGGTCTGTGAAATTGCAAATGTTGTGCAGCTATCCCCATGTTCATATATATATATAAAACCTTGTTCTGGGTGCTCTGGCACCCAGCTTATGAAGTTACAGTAAACTGCAGTTGTGGGATTGCCATTTGAGACCTTTCTTGCCTGCTTCGCACAAGCAGAGATTTTCCATAAGTCGCTCCTGCTGCCTTTTTCTTTCATAAGCTGTGACATTTCAAGGAGTTCCACTGTAGAGTACATGATCCCTATGCCTGCTTTTGGCTCTCGCCAACCTACCTACACCTCTCAACATCCTCCAATTGTCTTTTTCCTTCATTGGCCTACCTACCCCACCAGTGCCTGCCTGGGGCATCCCATCATACTCCTTATTTAGGACTCCAACCTCTTCCCATCTAATGACCTGAACATCCTGGCATTATGATAGCAACAGAGACGGCCTGAATTGCCGTTGCTAAGCAGTGTGGTCATGCGACATCATGCTTTATGACCACATCGCTTAACAATGGCAATTGCAATCCCAATTTTTGTGAGTTCCATGGGATATATTGTGGCTTCTTTGGTGTGGACTTAGATAGGATTACATGGCGGGTTTAGTACTGCATCTGTTACCTGGCAAGAGTAGAGAATCAGTCGATGTGACCTGTTGTGCTAAGCTTGGTCTTTTCATGGATTCTGTTCTTGTCTTTTAAAACTTTGCTGTATCTATTCAATTTAAACTGGGGGGGGGGGGGGCAGTGACTAACTTGCTCCCTGTTGCATCTGACATATTTCTTCAAGGAATTTTTTTGTGTATTGCCTAAAGCTTTATCATGGTGATAGCATGTACGCATTGTAAAATAAGTTATGGCATTAAAAGCAAGCCAGAGAATTGTCTGTCAAAGAAATTGCATATTCACTCTTTTCTTCCCTGTGACCTATTATATATTTCCCATTGTGCTTTCCATTCAATGCTGTTGCAGTTTTTTCTGCCAGGGAGCTACAAGAAATGCAGGAACTGGTTATCGAGGTAATTTTATTTATGGTGATTGTAACAAGATGGAAAGTTTAATTGGCTACTTGGCATATTGAAATATAAACAGGTAGTCCTTGCTTAACAATCACTCATTCAGCGCCCATTCAATGTTATAACAGCACTGAAAGAGTGATATTTAAGACTGGACCTTGTACCTAGGATGGTTGCAGCATTCCCCACGGTCAGGTGGTTGCCATTTGCGACATCTTTTGCCGGCTTCCTACAAGAAAAATCAATGGGAAAGCTTGCAGGAGGTTGCAGATGGTGACCATGCGATGTCAGGAAGGATTCTCTTAAGAACTAGAAGTGCTGGAGTTTCCCACACTACAGCGATGTGGTCATGTGAATTTGCACTTTACAATTGTGTCACTTAATTATGGAAATTCCAGTCACAATTACTGCTGTTAAGTGAGGACTAAATGCATGGAGAAAGTAGTGTTTCTTTTTTTAATCCTTTCCTTACAGTTAGTTTGATTCTAATCCTCTCTTCCTACCTGAGCAATTTGAACTCTGATTGTATTCCTTTCATTTCCAGGCATAAAAGCCATTCTGTTTTCCCATGTAACTGGTGCCATTCCCATTTCTTTTTTCGTCCGTTGAAATAATCACAGGCATTGAGTATGTATTATAGGGATAGATTCTTTATTGGCCAAGTGTGATTAGACACACAAGGAATTTATCTTGGTGCATATGTTCTCAGTGTACATAAAAGGAAAAGATGCATTCATCAAGAATCATAAGGTACAACACAGTGATAGCAATATGGGTACAGAAAAGCAATCAAATCATACTAGGAAACAGTCAATATAAATAGGGATGAAGTTATGAAAAATTGCTAGAGAAGAAATCAAAGGCTCTGACCGTATATATTATTCCTGGAGATAGTCCATGGGACAAAAATATAGAACTTTATTCTCCTCAGATGCAAAATAGTATTTGTCACTTACATT